GGGAGGGGCCAGGCGTGGCACCCACTGGTGCCACTCAGCCTCTGCTGTCTCTGCCACAGTCCTCTCAGAAAAAGAGCTGCTCGGAAGAACCAGAGCCAGAGCCTGAAGCCACAGAGGGGGACAGTGACAAGAAGGGGAACGCCGAGGGCAGCAGCGATGAGGAGGGGAAGCTGGTCATCGACGAGCCGGCCAAGGAGAAGAATGAGAAGGGGCCCCTGAAGAGGAGAGCAGGGGACCTGCTGGAGGTAAGGACTCCCCAGGGCGTCGGCAGGGACCCCTACAGCAGCAGGGCTCTGCCCCGCAGGGAGCCCTCGAGCTGAGAGACCCCCCTAGTCACAGAGAGCTGAAGAGATGGGGTACAGAAGACAGCCTTGTAGTTAAGAGGGGGCTGTGGCTGGGCATGATGGCACACACCTGTAATCTCAGCACTCGGGATGCTGAGGCAGGACTATCTCTGGGGGGTCAAGGCTATGTGGACTATGTAGGGAGACCCTGTCTCAAAAGAAAAAAAAAGATGGGGCTGTGGAAGAACTGATCGGATATAAGCCCAGGAAAGAGTCTGGGGTTGTGGGTACAGGTAGGCAGCTGGTGCCCGTCTTCCCTGGCCTCAGCCCTGTGCCTCTCTGCCACTCTTGCCTAGGACTCCCCTAAACGTCCCAAGGAGGCAGAAGACCCGGAAGGGGAGAAGGAGGCAGCCACCTTGGAGGGTGAGAGGCCCATCCCCACAGAGGGCGAGAAGAACAGCACCCCCTCTGAGCCCATCTCCAGCCGAGGCCCTCCTCCTGAGGAAGAGGAGGAGGAAGAGGAGGAGGAGGAGGAGGAAGAGGAGGAAGAGGAGGAGGAGGCCACCAAGGAAGATGCTGAGGCCCCGGGCATCAGAGATCATGAGAGGTGAGTGCCTCTCCTGGGCGGCAGCACCTGTGCAGTCAGCCTCTCGGAGCGGGTGGGCCCCAGGAGGCCCAGCCCGGCCACCCAGTAACCCTTCTCCCTCAACTGTCCGCAGCCTGTAGCCACCAATGTTTCAAGAGGAGCCCCGCCCCGTTCCTGCTGCTGTCTGGGTGCTACTGGGGAAACTGGCCATGGCCTGCAAACTGGGAACCCTCTCCCACCCCACCTGCTCTCCTCCTCCACTTTTCCCCCACTGTGAGTGGCCCCTGGAGGTGGATCTGGCCCTCATCTCCGGGTCCCAACACCTACGGCCTGGGTCAGGGCCCTGTCCTCAGCTCCCTGGGGGACACAAGGCTGTTGTGTCTCATGCTGCTTAAAGCTGTTTCCCAGGGCTCCTGTGGGGCCCTTGGCTGGCAGTTTCCGCTGGATCCGCTCCTCCCATCTCCTAGGCATCCTGGTGGCTTTGGGTAGGTGTGGAAGGGGTGGGACGTGAACAGCAGAGTGGGCTTCGGGCTGGGGGTGTTGGGGGCCAGAGGGCAGTGTCCTGTGCTTCTGTCCCCAGCCCCACGTCTCTGCCAGCTGCCCACATTCAGGGAAGGTGGGACAGCCTGTGGGGGAGGGGCTCTGTCCTGAAAGTCCTCCGTGATTGACAACACCCAGTCTTTTGCCGATGATCCCGGGGTTCTGGGACTCTGGTTCTCATCAAAAGATTTCGGGGCCTCCAAGTCGTTTGGGCCGAGGCCCTGAGATCTGCAGGGTCGGCTTCCCCGTGTGGGTCGGCGTGTTGAGCACCTGCCCCCTTTAGATCTCTGGGGCCAGAGATGGGACACTCTGAGGAAACTCCCAGCTACCCTGTCCCCTTTCCCGCAGCACTCAAGGCCAGCCTGCAGTTACATACACCACCCAGACATAGAGGAAAAGACACATTTTTTAGGAAATGTTTTTAATAAAAGAAAATTACAAAAAAAAAATTTTAAGGCCCCCTAACCCTTTGTGTGGCCCCCGTCCTGCTCCTTCCTTCCCCATGTCGCCCCCATTTCTGAGGTGCACTGGGAGGCTCCCCGTCTGTGTGGGGCTTGATGACTTTTTGTAGCTGGGGCTTTGGTGTTTCTTCCATGTCATTTCCTATCCACATACCCTACCCGGTCCGTTGGTATTTTTGCTCGACCTGGTTTGTGACTCACTGAGGACAGAGAACGGAGTACCCTCTCCCAACCTCTCCCTAGTGGCTTCTTGCCTCTCTGTCTCTTGTCTCTTATCCCTGCCCCTCTCCCCTGGGCTCTGATGAAAAATTGTTGACTGTAGCTTTGGAAGTTTAGCTCTGAGAACTATAGACAAATTCAGTTCTAGGAAAATAAAACCTGTTGATTACTATATTGGATTGTGTCTAATTCTTTGGGGACATATTGGTTACCTGAAGAAGAGGGAAGAGGGAATATAAATGATTTCCAAGTCACCTTCTCAGATTGGAGGTTGGAAGTGTCCGTCTGCCTCTCCTCAGGCCACTAGAAATCCAAAACTAAATGAGAGCAGTCTTAGAATGAACCATGCCATCCATTCTGCCTTTTCTACACAGTGTTTAAGAGAGCTACTTCCCCCATCAGGCCTGGGGACACCATAGTGGTGCACACCTGAAATTCTAGCACTTTGAGAGGCTGAGGCAGGAAGATCACAGGAGTTGGATCCTAGCTTTGGCAGCTTAGCCTTGGGGTCGGGTGGGGAGCTGTGTCTGGGGATGTAGCTGAGTGGAGAGGCCCAGAGTTTAATTTTCAGTACCATCCAAAGCGTATTGCACAAGAAATGGTGTGGGAAGAAGGTGCCGGTATTGGCCACAGCCACAGCTTATCTATGGGTGTTTGGACTGGTTGTGGGAACAGTTTGACTCCCGGGCTTAAGGAGAAGGCCAAGCATTAAAGAGGATAGATAACTTTAAACTGCCGGCTACTGCTACCAGACCCAGTACTGCTGGCTGCACAGAAGGCCCCTTAGGTAGAGATACAGTGTTGAGGCAAGGGAGATGATGGAGCAGGTGGAAGACTTCCAAAGTCTGTCTTGCTGGGAGGTTTAGGGGTTATTGATTTAGGAGACAGTGACTGCAGACCAGTATCGGATCCCTTCGAGGTGAGCGTTTGTGGTCAGATGACAATCTGATCTTAATCACTCAGAACATGCTTTCTTACATCTACCCATCTGAAGAACAGAAAGATCCATTATTTCCTCAGGTTAGTTTGCCCAGTGCACTTCCTGTCTGACTACAAGGCACAGGCCAAAGTGGTAGCTGCACAAGCCTCCGTGTTGACTCCGAGTTACCTGGTGGCAGCGAAAGAACCCGACACACCCGTTTCCCGTGGCACACAGGGTCAGGCAGAGCACTGAGGTCTGGTCTCTTCTGCTCCACTGGAGCTGGAGCTGTCACCCTTTACTGCTGGTGGTGCTGGGGGGTGGGGCAGGTAGGGTAGGATCCTCCCAGTATCCCCCAAGTTACTTGGAAAACGGAATTTGGTTATCTTTCCGATTTCCTCCAGATCTAACATTTTTTTGACTATGCTGTTAGCACTGGAAGGGTCCGCTTCTCATCCCTTCCTGTAGAAACCCTGCGGTGGTTTTTTAATATTCCCTGGCTCCTTCCAGCAGAGAAAGGCAAGGCAGAAACCTCGGCAATCTCACCCAGAAAGGGAGGCTCTTTCCAGGGAACAGAAAGTCACATCCACCTAGAAAATGGAGCTATCCCCTCTAGGAACAACAATTCCCAGAGCCCTTCGCGCAGAGCGTGCGCAAAACGCGCGAGGCACGTTAGCCTATCCAGTTTCTCCTTTGATTCCCGACATGCCTCACGGCGTTCTCGCTCTCGCTGTCTCTCGCTTGCTCCTTCTCATTGCCGATATCCCGCCAGACTTCCTGTTTCCCCCAACTCCCAGCATGCTGAGGGCCCAAATTATTGATTGAATTTCCGCTCCGCAGTCAAACTACATTTCCCAGAACTCAGTGGGTGGGGTTGAGGGCCCACGTGCGAGGCTAGAGGCGGAGGCTCCTCTGAGCGGTTGAAAGGCAGCTGAAGGCCGCTGCACCCGGAGGAGGTACCGCTGCACCGAGGTTCGTCAGCCAGCAGGTGCGGGAAGGGCCTCCCTTTTCTCTGGCTGTAGCTCAGTCTCCTCCTTTGGATTCTCTGCACCAGAAAGCTGGAGCGGGTGGGTGAAGAAAGTTGGGGTCTGGTGATGTCTGGGAGCCGGGTGCGCACCCTGGAGGAGGCTGGCGACGCCTTTGCAGCCGTGACCCCAGGGACAGACGTTCCACACCGCGAGCGTCCGTGGCGCCTTCAGAGCTCGCGGTGAAAGTCCCACCACGGAATGACGCCAGCCTCTCCAGACTGCAGAGGTAGGAAGCAGGAGGAAAGGTATAGGGGGCGTGAAGCTGCCCTGGGCTGGGCTGGCTCCTGCGTTCGCCTTCCTGAGCCGCAGACCTAGGAGGACTGCGGTTAAGGGACTCTGCAGCACGCACGCAAGTGGCTTGAGTCCCAAGATTGGCCCCGCACCAGGAGCGCTGTGACCCAGGGCCAGTCGCGTCAGCTCGCTGGGCCCTGGTCTCCTTGTCCGCAGAAAGGACCTCTTTAGCACTTGGGCCTGACCATCTGCCTTCCTGGGCAATGTGAAATTCCCACCACTGGGTTTGTCACAGTAGTGCGGTGCAATCATTTGTTGATTCTAAATAGGGATACTTAGGCTCATGTATTAAACCAGCATTAATTGATAACATTGGACCTTTATTTTCGTACTAAGATGTGTAAGGGGCCTGGGATTTAGGTCAGTGGCACTGCACCTGCTTTGAAAGCGCAAGGTCTTGAGTTTGACCCCCGGTACCAAACCAACAAACAACTAAGATGTGTAAAGAAGGAAAAGGGCCGACATTTCACTCTTCGGATACACTAGCTTGTTTTATGCACATCATTACAAAGTGCAAATGTTATGGAAACGGTTCCTATCCCGGAGAAATGTACTTTAGTTTCTTGTTTCCTTCTCCTAAATTTGCCCATCAGTATTATCCAGAAGGGATAATACTATTCATGTTATTTTACACCTTGCACTGTTAAAATATTTAAAATTACCTAAATGACACCAGCAATGCCGTGGTTAGGAGTGTTGAGACTGAAGATCTGAAGTTGTCTGTAGTCACAGAGTAAGACACTGGCAGAGTAGGGACTAGGACAGATGACAGTAGGAAGTCAGGGGTCTGACTCCCCAGTCCTGGACTCTATGCCATTATAGTGCACTTTATTCATACTTTGAAGGTAGGTTCATTTTTATTTTGTTTTTTTGTACCGGGGATTGAACTCGGGTCCTTATGCTGTCAGGCAGGTAGTTGGAACCATTGAACTAAATCCCTGGCTTTGTTTTTTATTTTTTTATTGGTACTGGGGATCGAACTCGGGACCTTGAACTTGCCAGGCAGGTTCGGTGCCACTGAGCTAAATCCCCAGCCCGGTTCATCTTTATTTATTTAGTACCGGGGATGGAACTTGGGGCCTTACACTTGTGAAGGTGGTGGCGGCACCACTGAGCTAAATTTCCGCCCATCCTTATTTATAGAATAAGATTAATGGTAACTTTATCATTTGTCCATAGGCTTAAATGAGATGGTACAGAAAGGCATTTATTTATTTCCTGGTATTGGGGATCAAACTCAGGACCTTGGGCTTGCCAGGCAGATGTGTCTCCACTGAGCTAACTCCACGACCAGGCTTTTTTTTTTAAACAGTCTTGCCACATAGTGCATGTTGGTCTTGAGCTCACTATGTTTTTGTTTTTTTTGTTTTTTGTTTTTTTTTTGAGACAGGGTATCCTGTAGTTGAGACTGACCTGGAGCTCACTATGTAGTCCAGGCTGTTCTCGAACTTACAGTGATCTTCCTGCCTCAGCCTCCCTAGTGCTGGGATTACAGGAATGAGCCACCACGCCTGGTTTGAGCTCACTATGTAGTCCAGGCTGGCCTCAAACTTGTAGAGTTTCTCCTGCCTCAGCCTCCAGAGTGCTGGGATTACAGGTATGTGCTACCACACCTGGCCAGAAAGGTATTAGATGACACCTCGCAGGTAATAAGGTCTCAGTAAACTGAAGCCAATTTCATCTTTGCCAGTTCTTTTACTACCCTGTTAATTTACTCCATAAGGGAAAAAAAAGTTCCTTCCCTTAATTTTTTTTTGGGGGGATACTGGGGATCAAACTCAGGACCTTGCACATGAGGCAAGTGAGGCGGTCACTGAGCTGAATCCCTAGCCCTCCTTGCTTCTTAGCCCCCTTGTTTCTCACCCCCAGAGCTAACAAAGCTTCTGAGTCTCACTGGTGAGATTTCTCACAGCCTTCAGCTATGCGACTCTCTGCCCTGCTGGCCTTAGCATCCAAGGTCACACTACCTCCCTACCACCGCTATGGAATGAGCCGCCCAGGCTCCCTGGCAGATAAGAGGAAGAACCGCCCATGGATCAGGCGGCGCCCAGTACTTGTGGAACCCATCTCGGATGAAGACTGGCACCTGTTCTGTGGGGATGTGGTGAGAGCTTCAGACAAGAGGACAGAGTGACGGGGAGGCTCCAGGCAAAGATCCACTTCTCTGACTGTCACATCCTCTCACAGGTGGAGATCCTAGAAGGCAAGGATGCTGGGAAGCAGGGCAGAGTAGTTCAAGTCATCCGGCAGCGAAACTGGGTTGTCCTGGAGGGGCTGAACACAGTAAGTGAAGAGTGGAAAAGGACGCCCAGGAAGCCTGTCCGGTGTCTCTGTCCATTAAGAGCAGCACAAGGTGGCAGGAACCTGGCTTAGAGGGTGGTGTATGAGCGAGCCTCCTGCTTTTCAGCTTGGACTGAATGTGGTGAGCATTAAAGGGCAAGCCCCCTTCACACACCCTGCTTTCTGATAGCCCCTCTCTTGGACAGCATTTCCGCTACGTGGGCAGGACCAAGGATTTTCGGGGAACCATGATTCCTAGTGAAGCCCCCTTGCTCCACAACCATGTCAAACTTGTGGATCCTGTGGACAGGCAAGCTCCTGGGGCTGTGGTCAGAGGGTCCGTGACGGTTTGACTATAGGACAGGTGGGCAGCCCATTTATCCGGTGGGACGGTGGGTTGAATGCTCTGTAAATTGAGGGTCCAACTCCTGTGCATGACTCCTTACAAGCACCCCCAATACAAAGGTAGAGAAATAAGGTGGTGGGTGACTTCAGTGTTTTTAAGCACTATCCCACTTTGGGGATGGGATGTGATAGTGGGTCCTGGATCCTACCTCAGATCACTTTTTTATCTACCAGGAAACCCACTGAGATTGAGTGGAGATTCACAGAGGCAGGAGAACGGGTTCGAGTCTCTACAAGATCAGGAAGAATTATCCCCAAACCTGAATTTCCTAGAGCTGACGGCATCATCCCTGAAACATGGATTGGTGAGGCTGTGAGGGGCAGGAGAAGGGTGGGGGTGACAGGAGTGAGCAGAAAGGGTGTTAAAATGAGTTGGCAAACCCTCTCTTTCCTCCACCTCATAGATGGCCCCAAAGACACATCCGTGGAAGATGCCCTGGAAAGGACGTACGTGCCTCGTCTGAAGACACTGGAGGAAGAGGTGATGGAGGCAATGGGGATCCAGGAGACCAGAAGATACAAGAAAGTCTATTGGTATTGAGCCGGAGACAGCTGCTTCTCCCTTGTCTGAGCTACGAAGGCTGAGGTGCCTGCTCCTCGGATACTAATAAAGTGCCATAGTCCTCCCGCGTGTGTCCTGCCTGCTAGTGACACCCTAGCCCAGCGTGCCACTCCAGGGCCTGAGGAAGGGGCTGCTTTCCTCATGGTAGCACAGTGCAGCAGGTGGCCTTCCTAGGGATGGGGTGGGATGGAAAGGAACCAAAGGGACAGCGGTTCCCTCCATGGAGAGCTCTGAGCAACAGATGGTGCCACCCAGGCCACCTGTTGGGGAGGGCATCGAGCAGTGGCACCTGACAGTGGCACTCTGCAGGGCAGGTATGTACCTGTCCTTTCCATACTTCTTAGAAACAGGTAGGAAATAAGTCTTGTGGGTTTTAATAAATTGAAAACTTCAGTGTGACAAAATACGTGGCAGGAGAGAGTATTAGCTTGGAGGATCCGAGGGAGGACAAGGGTGCTGCTTCCTGGGTGGGGAGGTGCACTCTGCCCTTCTGGCTCCCATGTCCCCCTCGAGCTGTCAGCTGTCTTCAGTCTCCAGAGCAGAGAAGGCGTGACCCAGGGGCACTTTGGTGGCCACCAGGACCAGGTTTCTGGGGGACAGCTCAGGGCGGAAGATGGGCAGGAGCTCAGCATGAAAGCCTGGAAGAAACGTAGGGCTCATCAGGAGGGGACACGCAGGCCAGACTCACTCAGCACTTCTGCCAGCCTGCAGGCACCGCAGCCTCCCCGAGGCAGACTCCTCAGGAGTAACTGCAGTGTCGGAGGTACGATGAGGCTGTTCTCAAGCCCTGCGAGTTCTCCATGCCTGGAACACTTGCTTACATACCCAAGGGAGACACCAGCAGAGGCTGATGTGGCCAGTCTGCCTTCCTAGTGAAACCTCTAGGGCTGGGGATTTAGCTCAGTGGTTCTGCCACCTGCCTCGCAAGCGCAAGGTCCGGAGTTCAATCCCGGGTACCAAAAAAAACGAAGGAAAAAAAAAAAAAACGAACCCCCAGTCCAGGAGGTGATGACTGGGGTCTGGTGGGTGTGGGGTTGGGGCCTGAAGAAGGAAGCCAAAGCCCAGCCCCTCCCCTCACCTTGCTCCTGGAGGTACAGTAGCCGGTCCAGCAGAATCAGCGTCTCCACCAGTGGGGCAAGCAGGAGGGCCAGGCTGAAGAAGGCCACCACCCGGTTCTCCTGGGACTGATGAGCCCGAAGGGCAGCCAGGTTCAGCGGCAGCTGGGGGTCCAGCCCCACTCGCTGTAGGCCCCGCTGCACGTATCTGCAGGGTCAGCCAATGAGCACTTAGTAGGGTTTTAGGAACCGCTGCCTCACACTTTTTAACTTTGTCCGTCCCTACTTCCAACTCCAACTTTGCTTGATTTGCTATCCTAATATACAACTTTTTTGTTTGTTTTATGAGACAAGGTCTCACTATAATTCAGGCTGGCTTTGAACTTAACAGATAGCCAAAATGGCCTTGAATTTGTGATAATCTTGCCTCGCCCTCCACAGGGCTAGAATTACAGGCTGTGGCACCACACCCAGCCAAATTGTAATTTTTTAAATCAGGGTCTCATGATGTGGTGATGCAACCTAGCTACCTGGGAGGCTCAGGCAGGAGGATCACAAATTCAAGGCCAGCCTGGGCAACTTAGCAAGACCCTGTCTCAAAAAATAAAAAGGGCTGCCAATAAGCTCAAGACAAGGGTGTGAGTTCAGTCCTCATTACTGGAAAAAAACCGAAACAAACCCAGGTGATGTCTATGGTGACCCCAAACCCCTGAGCTCAAATGATCCTCCTGCCTCAGCTCCCAAATAGCTGGGACTACAGGCATGCACCCCAGTGCTGGCTGTAAACCGTCTAATGGCAAATTGATCAAAAAATTCATTTTCGGTTATCTTTGTCCAGTTACTTGGCCACATTTTTAATATTTAAGGTGGGGTGTAGCTCAGCAGTAGGGTACATGCCGAGTATGCATGAAGCCCTGGGTCTGAGTCCCAGTCCCAGCACCATAAACAAAACCATCACATTCCCTTTAGTCTCCTGATATGGTAAGGACTTTTTTTCTTGGTTGCAGAAGTGGGGATGAACCCGGAGCCTCAAATTGAGCTATCGTGCCAGTCCTTTTTCACTCAAGGTCTCACTAAGGTGTCCAGGCTGGCTTTGAGTTTCCTGCCTTGGCCTCCCAAGCAACTGAGAGCAGAGATGTACGTCCCTCCACCTGGCTAAGGACAACTTCCCGAGACATTTGGGCAGGCTGCTCCCGTCAGGGATCCGACCATCACTCCTCTATCGGTGGGCGGCGGGGAGTCAGGTCTCCAGAGGTGACGCCCCCCAACCTCACTCTTCAATTTGGAGCTCATGGACCCTGGGGATCCCCTGCACGCCGGGGCGACGGAGCTCGGGTCGGGCATGGCGGATGACAGTCTCCAGCGCCGCACGGTAGCAGTGGGTTCGGAGGCTGGGGCCAGCTCTCTGCAGCCGCTCGGCATAGTCCTCCAGGGCATGGCAGGCCCCCTCCCGGAGCCTGTAGGGCAGCTCACAGCCAGGCAGTCCGGCCACCCAGCGGCTCAACGGGTAGCCACCAGGCTCGCTGAGCTTCATGTAACAGCAGCCCACCGAGGCCAGAGCTGCTACCTCAGGACAGCAGCAGAAGTGCCTCAGCAAGGCGACACTCAGGTCCCCACAGGCGTGGAGGCCCGTCAGCAGCAAGCGGGCACCACCACCCTGCTGTGGCTTCTCCAGGGGAAGCAGAAGTTCCTCACACAGGGCTGTGGGCTCGACCCACCGAGCCACGTGGTAGGGGCAGTGGCGAGGGCCCCCTGGGGCCACCTGTGGAGGTAGGAAAGGACAGAGTCACCTCAGCTACAGGAAGGGACCTGGGCTCTGTTACTTCTCCAGGAGGAATAGGGAGAAGGGGCCAGGGCATGCAGAGAGCTGCTAGACCACAGTCAGACGGGACAAACTCGGCCCACATTGTTGACTTTGCAAATCTTTTTATCTTCCACACCCAGTTTTCATTTTTTTTTCCCCATTATTATTTTGGGCAGCACTGGGGGTCAAACCCAGAGCCTCGTGGCTGGGCAAGTGCTCGTCCACTAAGCTACACCTACCCTGAAGTTCTCTCACTGGATAATGTGTCTAATGCTTGGCTGAGGGTGTGGATGGAGCTCAGTGGTAGTGCGTTTGCTGGTTTAATATCCAGCACACCCCACAATGATTTTCTTTTTTTGACACAGGGGCTCCTGTGTAGTCCAGGCTGGCTTTGAACTTGCAGCAATCCTTCTGTCTCAGCCTCCTGAGTGCTGGGATTACAGACTTGCGCTATGTCCAGCCAGTAACGGCTATGATGATTAATGCCCAGCTCGCCACTTCACAGGCTATTGTGAAAAGAGCACATTAGCATGGAAAGCATTTTGTAACTCCAAAGTGCCTGGGGTGTGGGAAGGATTTAAGGAAGGGGGCCTTGGGGAAGAAGCAGCAGGCACAGAGACCATTCCATCTGAGGTGGAGAAACAGGAGGGGTCGCTGGCCTACCTGGGGGTTCCCTTTCTTCTCCAGAGCCTGCAGGAGCTCCTGGTCCAGGCGCTGTGCCCGCTCCACCAGCCTCTCATCCCCTTCGATGCTCTTCACCATCAGCCCCAGCCCCAGAGACATGAAGCGGGAAAGATGGCCCTGAAGTCACGAGAGGAGGACAGGGTCATCCCCCGTCAGGGGCTGTCCACTTTACCCATATCCTGTCAGTGCCTGGACACCAACTGGAATGCTGCCCAGCTGTTTCCTCCACTCCTCAGCACCTGCCTCCCTAGACCTGAGGCCTCCTACCTGCCTTCCGGTTGCTTTCGCCTCATGGCTCAGAAGGACACTGTGTTAGGGATCTGGCTCACCTGGCCCGAGCCCACGTCCACAACCTGAGTGCAGCCAGTGAGGTTACTCAGCTTCTTCACCAACTGAAAGAGGAGGGAGCAAAGGTCTCCTGGGCACTGGCTCTTCGTTCCTGGAGCAAACATCCAGTGAGGGCAGAGGAGCCACAGATGGCAGAGGGAGATGGGTCGGGCAGCCAGGAGACGCAGGTCTGGAAGCCAGAGTGGAGGCGGCGCATGGGCACCCCACCCGCACTGGGCCCCTCAGGTTAGTGACTCAGTTCCCCACAGAACAAGACCCAGGAGATGTGAGACTGGGAATGAGAGTGATTCGGATACAGTCGCCAGCCAATGCAACAGGATGGAGAGGGAGCCACCCAACATCCCTGGGGTTGCAGTGTCGCTGAGAAGCCTCTAGAGCCTCCGGTCCTGCACACAAAGTGCAGGACCACATTTTTCGACTCCCGCTTGGCCCTGGGCTCCTGGCCACTGCTCATACTCCAGTGTCTCCTCACCTCTCCCAGCCGGCGGATCTCATGCTGCTTCTTGGGCCTGACATGTTTCCGGAAGGGAGCTGTCAGTCTGGAGCTCTGGCTGGGATTCTCCAGAAACTCAGAGGGGGTCTGAAAGCTGGGTGTCCGGGTAAAAGTCAGGGCATAGGCTGTGGACTTCAGAGCCAGTAGGGTGAGTGGCCACACCGACCTGTACCTGAGGAAAGCCAGCCCAGGCTGCAGAGTAGTCCCATCCAGACCTTGGGAGACCCTAAGCAGGGCCTCTGCGGGGCCTCATGCCTCGGGCACCCTGGCACCCATACCTGACCACCTCCCCTTCTCCAGGCATCCCCAGCAGCTGTGTGGCCAGCTCAGGTGGCTCCAGTCCGTCCAGTGCTTCCTGCCACGAGCGAGGGAGTGTGCCCCACAGGTTGTCTGTGAAAAATTCCTGCAGTAGAAACGGAGGTGTAGTCAGCAGGACGCCACCTGCTCCCAGGCCCACTCTGCCTGCCGCCCCACCCACCCCACAGGCACACCTGCCTCCTGGAGCAGCTCTGTCAAGCCCACTCCCTCTTTTCATCTTAGGGGGGCTGAACTCTTTTTAGGGTACGGACGCATTCCACACGTCTCGCACTCTAACAAGTCAGTTCTATCCACTTTTTGGGGAGAGACAGGGGTCTCTGTATGCCCAGGTTGACTCAAACCCAGATATTCCTGCCTTAAGGCCTGCAGCAGCTGGGGCTCTGGGTGTGCACCTGGCTTCAGCTGAATTTCTTAGGTAGGGATGCTCTCTTCTTCCCACATGCATCTCTAACACCACCGCAGTGACTGACACACAGTATCAGCACATTACCATTTTATAACCTGTCACACATACACATGCATGTGTACATATATACATATACGCTTTCGGGGGCTTTTTTTTGTATCAGGGATTGAACTTGGAACTAAATCTCTGGGCCATATAAATATATTGGGGGGGGTACTGGGCTCAAGCTCTGGACCTTGTGCTTGTGAAGCAGGTGGAGGAACCACTGAGCTAAATCTCCAGCCCTATATATGTATTTCTCAGACAAGGTCTCACGATGCAGTTCAGACTGACCTAAACCTAAACTACAGGAGATACGGAGGAGAAAGAAGACAAAAATCCTACTAGGAACTAGAAGAATATTTATAGAATTAAATAAAGGTAATACAAAAAAAGTGAGAAGCAGAAAATAAAAGAAAAAGGGAGAAAAATAATATGGAAAATAAAAATAAAAAAAGTAAAAAGTAAAAAGGGAACCAGATGTGGTGGCACACACTTGTAGTCATAGCTCTCAGGAGGCTGAGGCAGGAGGATTGCTGCAAGTTTGAGGCCAGCCTGGGCTACACAGGGAGTTCAAGATCAGTCTGAGAAACACAATGTGCAAAATGTACAAAACAAAAGACAGATAACAGGAAACAAAAAAGATAGCTCTTTTGTAAATGGGAAGGGGACCAAGAGATGGAAGGAGAGGGAGGGATGGAGTAAAAAGAATTAAGACATTTGCAAGTATCAACTCACAGGAATGCAATCGTTATGCACTGCCAACATGTACTAATAAAAATTAAAATTATAGCTAGGTGTGGTGGTACACGCCTGAATCCCAGCACTCGGGAGGCTGAGGCAAGGATCGCTGTGAGTTCAAAACCAGCCTGGGCTACATAGTGAGTTCCAGGTCTCAACTACATAGACGCTGTCTCAAATAACCAAAAAATAAACAAACAAACAAAGAAATAATAAAAATTATAAATAAGATAAAAAGGGCTAGGGATATAGCTTAGCATGAAAGCCCTTCATAATAACAGTTCAGAAGATATGGAAGATACAAACAATAGCAAATATGCACATGATACTTTATGCCAGGCACTGTTGTAAACATCTGACATATATGAATGCACTTAATAAGCAACTCTATGAAATAGGTTCTATTTTTAGCCACATTTTACGGATGAAACTAAGCCAACTGAATAACCTGGCCAATTCAAAAACGAGCTGGGACGTGAAACTGATTTGATCCAAATCCTTGCTCTTGGGCCAGGTATTTAGCTTAGTGGTTCCACTGCCTGCCTTGCAATTGCAAGGACCCAAGTTCAATCCCCAGTACCAAAAACAAAACACAAAAAAACAAAAACAAATCCTTGCTCTTAACCAATCTGCTCTATTGCCTTGTGGTGGAGGAAGAGTATTCCAGGGAGATGGTTAAATGCAAAGGCCCATGCCTGCCATATTTGTGGGACAGAGATCAGGTCAGTGAGAACAGTGCAGCGAAGGCGGGAAGAAAATGAAATGCGGCGAAGAAGTGGCAGGTTGTGTAAATAATGTAGTAAGGAGTCAGCATTCTGCCACAGCAATGAGGATGCAATTGAGTGTCATGAGAGGGTGATAAGATTCACTCTGGATGGCCGGGTGGCCTGTAATCCCAGCACTCAGGAGGCTGAGGCAGGAGGATCGCTGGGAGTTTGAGACCAGCCTGGGCTACATAGTGAGTTCCAGGTTAGTCTCCACTACATAGTGAGACCCTGTCTCGGAAAAAAAAAAAAAAGAACGGGTTCTGGGTTTGGGATCTGAATACTTCAGTCGCAATAATTCAGCCATTGGTACATATCTCATTTATTATTAGCAATGATCCTTCAGCTAGGGATCCATCCACTTTATAGCTGAAACCAGGGACTGAAGAGGGGGGAAAACCCCTAATATTAACACAGTAGAGAAGGCAAGATCCTAGTCCCACTCTGATTCTAAAGCCTGACTGTCCAAAGTAAAACAAAAGGAGCTAGTATGCCATGAGCGGCCTTTTCTGGGACACCTCACACAGACCTAGGAACTCCAAATTTTGTCCAGGCATCGAGGCGCAAGCCCGTAAACCTAGCATTCGAAAAGCTGAAGCAGAATAGCCATGGGTTCAAGGACAGCCTGGGCTGCATAGTGAGTTCAAGCCCAGGCTGGACTGTATATCGAGACCCTGTCAAAACACCCTACCAAGGGACTTGGGATGTGGCTCAGTGGTTCTGCAGACTGCCTCAAAAGCACAAGGTCCTGAGTTCGATCCCCGGTACCAAAAACAAAAAACCCAAACAAAAAAATCCTGAGCAGGATAGAAAACAACCTATTAGGGGTAAAAGGGAGCGAATCACCCCCGTTTTTACCTTTCTTCTAGAATGACTTACAACTCAAGAAAGACCAAAGGTAAATTCCCAGTCACGGGCACCCAGACAACCAACCACCCACGACCCGGTGGCCTCACGATGATGTAGGCGTCCAGGATGAAATGGTACAGGGCCAGGACACGGGTGAGGTTCACAGCTAGCTTCCTCCGCTCCTCCAGGGAGAGGCCCCGGGCGGAGACGCCCGGCATCCCGAGGCCCGGCCGGTAGCGCGGGGAGCTGGGATCCAGGGTAAGTACCACACGGCACCGGGACGGCCAGCCGAATGGGAAGAGTTCTGAGCCTGGTCCCCGATGCTGCCTTTCCGGGAAACCATACCGGGCTGAAAATACTACAGCAGGGGGGCCCGCTGAGGTCACCAGCGACGTGAAGAGCCAGCCAGTGCCCGCGTCCCAGTCACGTGGGCCGAGTGACAGAGCAGTGACGTCACAGAGACGCGCGGCAACGCCAGTCGAGACGGAGCGGGCCAAGCTCCCGCTCCGCCTCTTCCCTCGCACTGCCCTCTCTGCCGGAAGTGGGGCGGGCCCGGCGCTCCGCAGTTCCGGTTTCTCGCGGCCTACCCCACCTTCGAGTTGTACCTCCACGGGGCTAGAGGGGCCGGGGAGCGCA